TTATGGCTTTTTGATTTTCGGTGTCATATTAGAATGTCTTCATCCAGAACACCAATTGAATCTCAATCTACACCAACTAGCTCTACACCAACTAGCGCTACACCAAATTCTTCTTCTACAAAAGTTGCAGTAAGAGGAAAGACCGACCCCGCATGGGCACATTGTCGAGAAGACTCTGTGTCTTCAAAAAGAGAAAAGAATTTGATTTGTATGTATTGCCACAAGGTCATTAAGGGAGGTGGTATCAATAGATTCAAGCAACATTTGGCGGGGATTAAAGGAGAAATAGAACAATGTATTAGATGCCCTCCCAATGTTAGTTATGAGATGAGATTGGTTCTGGAAAGTACTGTGACCAAGAAAAGAAAGACACAACAACATTATGATGAAATGAATCCATATGGACCAGAGTTTCGAAATTATGAAGAGCAGGAATATATGCAAAAAAATAATGATGTTCAAGAAATTCCACCTTCTTATAAAGCAAAAGGAATTTTCATTGGTGGAGGTCATGGTAAATCAATACATAACAAGGATGCAAGAAGAAAAGATAAAACAATTGGCTCTTACTTTGTACCAAGGACTACCCCCGGTTCTCAGCCTACTATCAAAAATGTTTTGCAAAGTAAGGAGGCAAAAGAGAGGTGTGATCTTGCGGTTTCCAAATGGATAATGGATGCTTGCATTCCCTTTAATGCTGTGAATTCTATGTATTATCAGCCTATGTTAGATGCAATTACTGGTTTTGGTGGTGGTTATAAGGGCCCTAACCTTCATGACTTGCGTGGTTATTTATTGAACAAGAATGTTGAAGAAGTAACAAATTTTGCCCATAGTTTTCAAACCACATGGAAAGAGACTGGTTGTACTATCATGACTGATGGGTGGACAGATCAATGTAGGAGAACATTGATAAATTTCTTGGTTTATTGCCCTAGAGGAACGGTGTTTTTAAAGTCTGTTGATGCTTCCGATGCTTCTAAGACAGCAAAATATGCTATATAAGTTATTTAAGGAAGTTGTGTTAAAAGTTGGTGCAGAAAATGTGGTGCATATAGTGACAGACAATGCTGTCAATTATGTTGCTGCTGGGAGGTTATTGGAGCAGGAGTTTCGCACAATTTCTTGGTCACCATGTGCAGCTCATTGTTTGAATTTGATGCTACAAGACATTGGCAAGTTGGATAAGGTAAATCATGTTGTCTCCCAGGCTTCAAAGATTACAAAATATGTATACAATCATTGTTTTCCATTACATTTGATGAGAAAACACATCGGTGGAAGAGAAATACTTCGTCCTGCTCCTACACGCTTTGCAACCAATTTCATTGCATTGCAAAGTATTTTAGCTCAAAAGGATGTCTTACGAGCTATGGTGGTATCAAGGGAATGGACTATGTCAGCATATGCGAAGGATAGCAAGGGAAAAAAATTCGTTGACAATGTGTTGGATTCTAATTTTTGGAAAGAATGTGCTATTATTGTCCAACTCACAGAGCCTCTTGTGCGCGTGCTACGCCTTGTTGATAGTGATGATAGGCCTTCAATGGGTTACTTGTATATGACTATGCATAAAGCTAGAGAGGAGTTGCTAAAACGATTTCAGAGAAAGAGAAAAAGAGTTGATGTTTACTTGAGAATCATTGATAGTCGTTGGGATCGTCAACTTCATAGAAATCTTCATGCTGCTGGTTATTGGTTGAACCCAAGTAATCAATATAAGTCGGATGAGATGACAAATCATCGACAAACGATTTCAGGCTCTTGGATGTAATTGAGAGATATGCTTATGGAAATCCCATTTTGAGTAGTAAGTTGACAAATGAGATGAAATTGTTCAGAAATGCAGAAGGCGACTTTGGGCGAATAACTGCTATAAGCGATCGAGAAAGAATGCTTTTCGGTATTGAAAATATTTGGTATCCTAATTCAAGTTATATACTTCACTTTTTTTGTTAACATTTGATTGTGATGCATTACATTATTAAATGCAGATGAGTGGTGGTTGTGCTATGGAAGTAGCGCGCCAAACTTACAAAAATTAGCCATTCGTGTCTTAAGCCAAACATGTAGTTCTTTCGGTTGTGAACGAAATTGGAGTGTATTTGAACACATCCATTCTAAGAAAAGAAATAGGTTGGAGCATCAAAGGCTTAATGACCTTGTTTATGTTCACTACAATTACAGATTGCAACAAAGGTACATAATTTTTATTAGCATTTTACTACAATTATGTTCAGTTTATTTACGTGTGTAATTTTCACCTTGTAAATGATAATGTGTAGGAATTACTTGAGGGGTAGAAATTATGATCCTATTGACTTTGAAGATTTCACAAATAATGCCTCATGGATTTTAGAGGATGAGCCTCCAACTTTAACAGTGGATGAATTAGAAACTTTCTGTCGTGAACTACTTGCGTGCAATATCCAAACAAACCCGAATAATGGTAATTTATTCCTTCTCAATTATTTATTTCAAATTAGTTTTTGATTAGTCAATAAATAATGTTTGTTTGGATATAATGTAGATGAAACTTTGGTTTTTGACTTGGATGATGAAGATGATGATCTTGTGGACCCTCAAAATGAGGAGTGTAATGAGGAAGGTGTTGGCAATGCAACTACAAGTAATGCTGAAAATTTCAATTGTCCTGGAGTTGAGAATTCTCTTGAGTTTGACAGGGATTGGAGTTCATGGAGTAGGAGCGCTCGTTGAGAAAATGAGAATGAATAGATATGTCTATTGCATTATTTTTATGACGGGTTTTTACTTTTGTGAACATTGTTATTTCATATTTGGGATTTTGTACTTGTAACTTATAGATTGTGGTATTGTACTTTTCATTTGTGTGTTTTATGTTTGTTTAAGATTGTGAACTCGTGGATTGTTTATTGCAGTAAGAGCATTATGAATTGTGATATTGAACTTGTGGCTTGTTTGAGATTTTTATTAATCATTACATATAATTGGGTTGTAGATTAGTTAATTGATAGTAGTGGTAATATTTGTATTTTCAAGTGAAACTAGGCAATTGTTGGATAATTTATTTTCAGTTTCGTTTATTTGAATCTTTATGCTATGCTCATGTGCTTTGTTTTGTTTTCATGTGTCTTGCAGCTTGCTTACTACAATTTGACTTAGACTTGGAGCTTTGAACTTCAATAGAGGTATTTTTCTCTACTTAACTTTACAAGTTGTATTGAAAATTGAATACATTGAAATTGGATACATGTTTGATAATTTTTCTCTACTAAACTTTATATGTTTGATGTCATTTTTATAATTATTGTGATTTTTTAGCCTATTTATAATTATTTTTTAATTTTTTATTATATTACCGGTCCAACCAGTGACCCCAACGGTTGAACCAGTGACCCATTAACCCGGTCCCTTAATCGGGTTGATGTCCGTGCTGGATTTTAAAACTATGTGTAGGACACAATAAACAGTAAATCGTATTTTTCTTTGTTTTGGACGATGAGCAATAACTCAAGACCTGTTTGGTTTGCGTTTCAGAAAATAGTATCTGAAAACAGTTTTTGAGAAGAGTTTTAAAAAAGTGTTTTTAAAAATTTTTAGATTACAAAACCTGTTTGATTATATATTTTTGAAAATAGTTTTAAAGAACAAAAATTATAAAATTTGTTTGGACAACAATTTGCAATTCCCACCGGTCTTCAACTCTCTCTCTCTCTTTCACTGTGCATCAAGACCACCACCACCACCACCACTACCGTCTCTTGAACTTTCATTGTACATCAAGACTACAACCACCCCCAACCCAAAACCACCACCAACCGACAACCACCACCCAAAACCACAACCACCTCTGAAACCAAGAACCACCCAAAAGCCCCACCACCACCCGAAACCGAAAACCACCCAAAGCCCACAATCACCACTAACCCACAACCACCACTCAAAACGTCAAAAAAATCAGATCATATAAAAAAAAAATTAGATCTGTGTTTGATAAAAAAAAATTAGATCTATGTTTGATAAAAAAATATCAGATCTGTGTCAATATTCTAATTCTTTACGGTGGTTACAATATATATATATATATATATATATATATATACTACCATTGATATGTGTTTTCGATCAGATCAGATAAAAAAAAATCAAATTTGTGTTTTCGCCGATTAAACCAGATCTGAACCAATCGTCGGAGAGCTCGCAGTTGATCTAGTTGTCGGAGAGCTCCAGTGTGTGTATGTTTTGCGGGAGAAGATGCAATCATCGGAGAAGGCGCAGTCACCGAAGAAGACTTCCGTCTGAAAGAGTCTGTGGAGAGAGAGAGAAAGACGGAGAGAGTGATAAGATTTGGTAGGACAAAGGCAAAAGAAAAAAAAAGCTTTTATACTGTGGCTTGTTTTTGCTTCTAAGAGAACTCGAAAATGAGATCTCATTAAAGAGTAAATCATCTCCGTGTTTTTAAAGTTTTGGCAGAAAAGCTTGAAAACAAGTTGGGCTTGTTTTCTAGTTTTATGTTCCAATTCTCCATTTTTTTTTTGAAAATTGGAGAACAAAAAACAGTTTTCAAAAATCAAACCAAACATGGCCTCAAATTCCTCCTTTTTTTTTTTTTTTACGATGAACAGTTACTCGTATTCCTTTTTTTTTTTTTGATGATGAAAAGTAACTTGAATTCCTCTTTTTTTTGGATGATGAACAATCACAGATCTGGCATTCCTATCTTTCTGTCGAAGAAGATGAGTTTTGATAATTAAATCCCCTATTTTATGTCTCACTTGATTTTAGCTAAAAAAACGGACGAAAGATAATGAGTTTTCATATATTTACTATTTATCGATGACAATAGTGATATTTTAAAAAAATATGCACTTTACCCAAAATAAATTTTTGAGTTACACTTTTGTCTAAATATGTCTAAAAAATTATACCTATTTTTAAACTGCCCAAAAATTAATGGGAGCAAGTCACTAATCTGCTATCTTTCCAGCTTGATGGGCCTCAATTCTTTTGTTTTTTTTCTCAAAAAATTACTAGTGAGAGACAGAGAGAGGTTCCAGCAAATTCACCACGAGAGATAGAGATAGGTTCCATCATCACCCAATTGAGTTAGTTTTTGTCATTCACGATCTATCATAATTTTTCGATTATTTCTGCAAAAACCCACCTCTCATCAACTGTATATCATAAGATGAACAAGTATACAGCAATTTGTTGAAAAATCGAGACAGCTACCAGCCTACTGCTTCCGATCTGTACCGCGTTTTACTCAGACTACAAGATTTGAAGATGGGTAAACCACCATGAAACTACTCAGTGAATTTCACCCAAGTTGCAGAGGTGTCGACATGGAGATGGGAATGGCTTCTATTTCTATACCACTGTAGGTGGTGAAAATTCGATATTGACTGAAGGTTACTTGCATCTTTCTCCCATATTTAATGCATAGTTGATCCACTTGATTTGGTAGATCTAATGTGAATTTAGGTTGATGATCATTATTGTTTGTTTCAGATCATCGCAAACCCATTTGTTCAATTCCCTAATTCACTTGCCATGTCCTCCTTATGTTTTTGATTTCATTGGGTTTCTGAATTGCCTCTCTGCTCTGCTTTGTTCTGTTCTGCTCTTCTCTTCTCTTTCTACTGAAGATTTGTCATGGAAGTGGTGGCTGCAGCCGTGGGTTCGTTATTGGCGGAACCTGCTCGACGCCTCTGCGGTTACATCTACAGCAAGGTAAGGAATCCCTCCAACTTGCAATCAAACTTCACTGCTCTAGAGGAGGAGGTCAGGGCTTTGATGAGTCAGAAAGAAGACATGGAAGAGGAACTCGAGGCGGCGGAGTTGGAGGGAAAAGTACCGAAAGCTGACGTGGAAAAGTGGCTAAGAATGGTCGACGATGTCAATTCTGAAGTGAACTCACTGCAACCTACAATGGCGGCTAGCGGTAATGGACGTTGTTTTAATTGCTACCCGCACAATGAACTAAACAGTAAAGTGGTGGAAACGCTGGAGCAGGTAAGAGAACTAATTAAAGCTGGCGATTTCCTGAAAAGAGTTGCAGTTGGGAATTATTTGCCAAAACCAGTGGAGCATATTCCAGCCCCAAGAATTGAAAATCAAACAGGGTATCAAAATTTGGTCAAAATAATGGATGCCTTGAGCAACAATAAGCAAAATAGGATTGGTATTTGGGGTATGGGTGGCGTTGGGAAGACTACTCTTGTGAAGAACTTGAATAACAAGCTCCAAAGCTCTTCTTCAACACAACCTTTTAGCATTGTCATATGGACAACAGTATCCATGGAGTTGAATTGGAGAAAAGTCCAAACTCAAATTGCCGAGAGACTGAATTTGCAGGTTAAAATGGGAGAGAGTGTGGAGAGAATGGCAATTCGATTGCATAAGAGGCTTGCGAAGGAGAAAAATTTTCTGCTCATTCTTGATGATGTTTGGGAGGCCATTGACTTGGACCTTTTGGGCATTCCACGGCCTGAAGCTGATACAGGTAGTAAGATCATTCTGACATCTCGATCGTTAGATGTTTGTAGGGTGATGATGACTGATGTCAATATTCAAGTGGATGTCCTAAACGATAGAGAAGCTTGGCAGTTGTTTCATCTGAACACTGGCGACGTAGCCATGTCAGAACAAATTAAACCATTTGCAGAGGCAGTTGCAAAGGAATGTGGTGGATTGCCCTTAGCACTCATAGTTGTGGGGGCTTCAATGAGGGGGAAGACAATGGTTGCGCTGTGGAAGGATGCCCTGAATGCATTGCGAAGATCAGTGCCTCTTGTCAAAGGGATTGAGGAGAAGGTCTATAAGCCTCTCAAGTGGAGTTATGACTCATTACAGGGTGAGCATCTCAAGTCATGTTTTCTGTTTTGCTGCTTGTATTCGGAGGACTTCCCAATGGAAGTCTGTGAACTTGTTAGATACTGGTTTGCCGAAGGTTTACTTGATCAACGATACAATTACGAGGAATTGGAGAACCGAGGAGTGGCCATAATTGAAAGTCTCATTGATTCTTGTTTGCTGGAACGTGGTGTGAAAGGAGGGACTGTGAAGATGCACGACGTCGTTCGTGATGTCGGTATTTGGATTGCATCCGCCTTGGAAGACGGATATAAATCCCTCATCCAGTCTGGAATCGGCTTGAGCCAGATACCGAAAAATGAGTTGTCGAATTGTCCCAGGAGAGTTTCTTTCATGAATAACAGAATAGAAAGCCTACCTGATTGTGTGATTCAATGTCCACGGGCATCAACTTTACTTCTTCAAGGTAATCATTGCCTTGAAGAAGTTCCTGATCAATTCCTACAAGGATTCCAAGCACTCAAGATCTTGGATTTAAGTGAAAGCAGCATCTATTCATTGCCTCGCTCTCTCCTTCAACTTGGTGAACTTCGGGCTCTCCTTTTACGTGGGTGTAAAGTACTCCATAAATTACCCCCATTGGGAGGCCTTAGTAGACTGCAAGTGCTTGATTGCAGTAGGAGTGGTATCCGAGCATTGCCAGAAGGTATGGAAAAATTGACCGATCTGAGGCAACTGGACTTGTCATATACTCATAATTTAACGATTCTTGCTGGAACTATATCAAGGTTGTCTAATTTGGAGTTTCTAAACGTGCTCGGCAGGTCTTTCAACTTAAGGAGAAATGATGAAGCGTCTTTCACAGATTTGTTATGCCTCAAACAATTAAATGTTTTGTACATTGAGTTTGACAGCATCCCAATTATCAACCCCAAGGATATTTCCTGGTTGAAAACAATTAGTAAAGTCAACACTTTTATAGGAAATCGAGCTCGTGATCGTATGCCTGAGAATGCAGTTGATTATAATGAAGGTTGTGTGATTCTGAACAATCTTTGTTTCTCAGGAGAATGGATTGGGTGGTTGTTAATCGGTGCAGCTTCTGTGCAAATTTTTTGTTGTGAGGGAATGAATCGGGTGCTTGAAAAGTTGGCCAAAAACAGTGGTAGTTCTGGTTGCTTTGCTGCTTTGAGGTCACTACATATTACTTTTTGTCACAGCAGCTTTCAGTCAGCCACACGAGGATGTGCTGCACAATTTGACCTACTGCCAAATTTAGAGGAGCTTCGTCTCCATTCGCTCAGTAGACTAGAAAGCATTTCAGAATTTGGCGATAATCTTGGATCAAAATTTTGTAGACTGAGGAGAATAGATGTGTTTAGCTGTCCCCAGCTGAAATATCTTCTTTGTATTGGAAGTTCAATTCTAACATTGGAGAAACTAGAAGAAATCAGGATAGAGTCATGTGAGAAGCTAAAAGAGCTATTCAATTATGTTGGTTCAACACATACCTTGGCTCCGGATCCTACTGTCCCGAACTTGCAAGTAATGAAATTAAAAGACCTTCCGGATTTAGAGATTCTTTGCAGACAAAATGAATCATGGGGGGGGCTAGAGCTGCTTGAATCACTTCATTGCAACATCATCAGGAAGCTGCCTCTCAGCACCCAAAATGCCGACACCATAAAGGAAATAAGAGGAGAATTGCAATGGTGGAACCAACTGGAGTGGGATGATGACGATACTAAACTATCTCTACAACGTCACTTCAGGGCTGTTGATAACTACGGTCACTTAATTTGCTAGGCCTGGGTGGTGATGATTTTGTTGCGGAAATTGTGAGGAGGTAACTCAATTTATGCCCACTCACATGGTTGTGAGAATTTTAACTTACATTGATGGTGCATCAACTCTTGGGATTTGAAGTTTACTAGGATCCTAGTGCATTCGCTTATTGTTGATTTTGTTGTACTTGTTTGTGGAACTTGATTTCTTCAAATGAAATGCCTACTTTGTTTCAAGATTTTTTTTTCCTTTCTTTTTTTGTATCTTCTATAGATTCAATCCAAAACCGTGGGTTTTTTTTTTCTTTCTCTTTTTGGTCCTAGGGAAAGACTACTGAGCTGCTGGGGTGCTCTCCCAAAGACCGTCCCTGCATGGTGTCGAAGTGTGGGGAGGATGTTCGATCTTCACCTTGATTTGCCTGGACGTTTGCACAGATGTTTTTCCTTGCATGGCACCACACCTTAACTTGCATTGCATTCCTCCAAAATTCCTCTGCAGGGGTGGTGGGGATCTAGGGGGTCTTTTAATCATAGCGATTGCTAGTTGCGAGTTGGACACTGCAATCACTGTTTAGCATTTCCCTCTCCTAGCAGGACAAGCCCTTGTGTATGCTTCGCAACTCAACTTCAAGGCTTGTGTATCTTTAGAACTTCCATGTTTTAGACCAGGTATATGTTCAGTGAGACACCAGATTATGGTCACTGCTGCATTCATAATTCAACCAGTAACCGACTTTGATTGGACATTCTCAAATTGGCAAGGACAAAAGTTCTGTTTTATTTCATTAGCTAATTTTCTTCATGTTATAGCTTATAATTAGGAGTATGAGAATTGTAATTCAAATATTTGCATGGTGAGCTGACTTACAGAAAGCCCATTCATCAAGTTATCCATATGTAAATGTATTACGAGAAACATATGGGATTTAACCCGCAGGAAGCGGCTCAGTGGTTCAATAGAATGCGGGATGTAAATTCATACATCTTGAGTTTTCTTATCCATAATATTCATTATACTATGCCTTATGAATGGAATATGTATTTCTTGGTAATGTTCGTTCCTATGTTTGGTTGGCAGGAATAAATATTTATTCTCATTCCAATGGAATTTCTAATCCCACAGATCATGGGATTAGCCATTACCAAATTTACCATGGTATTTTCCATTCCCAACCCACACGGTAATGTGCCAACTCCATTGGTGGAAAAAACCCAATCACTCCCTTCTCTTCCCAATCAGTCTCTCGCTGCTCATGTTGGTGCTCACTTCTTCTCTTCCTCTTATCTCTCTTCTCTGCTCGCATCTCTAGCTGATCAAACTAGGTAATTTCTTGCTCAATCCGACAATAATTCTCAGATCCAACCTCGAAATCTTAGGGTTGTCGATTTTCTTGTCTTTCAATTTGCTTTAATTGTGCAATTTGTGTTCTTGATGTCCATGAAATGCATGATAGTCCGGGATAGATTGCAGTAGATTTCATTGTGGAATTGATATTCATAATTGTCTACTGATTTTAGAATTGCAAAGTTATAGATTGATTGTATTTTTTTATCTTATTTTTGCTAGAACTTCAGAGATTTGCAGTAATGCACATCATATACTTGGGCCTAATCTATCATTGCAAGCCTTCTACATAGGAGGCCTACTTCTAAAGTACATTAACTGCTATTACGTAAAAAAAACAAGCGGCCTATTTCTATATGCAGCGATCATTAGCCGTTACATGATGAATTTCAAGGCTGGTAAGGTGAAAAACTGAAAAATCAAATCAGTCGAGACGATGCATATGAACTATATAGATAGGATTATATATGAAATTGAAATTTATGCATTTTCCTTTTTTTTTTTTATTGGTTATGTTGATTTTAATTAATTTTTTGGTGACTCTGTTCATTATGCAATTGCACATTTATTCTAATTTTTCAAGTTTTAAAATTAACAGGAGCGCTCATTGTAAGGGAGTATGTTAAATTAAGTTAGAAATTTATGATAAAATATAACTTTAATTTTATTTGATTTCATTCCAATTCAAATTAATTTATCCAAACGTTAGAATGAAATGTGCATTCCATTCTAACTCTTAATTTCAATTAATTACTAAACAAGAGAATGATAAAATATATTTCATTCTATTATCAAACTTATTCAATTGTTATATCAATCTCCTTCCTATTTAAAGGTATTATTGCGTACTAAATATAATGTAAGGATTTTTTTTTTTTTTTTTATTGTGTGAAAACGGATATAAGATACTAGATGTGAAGTCTCTATCATAACGTGATCATAGCAATCCTTAACGGATTCGGCTCGTCTGCTGTTCACCAAAACGGCACAGTTTGGTGCCTATTTTACAAAAACATCCATACCTAAAAACGGCACCGTGTAGTTTTTCTTTTTCAGTCCAAATTCAAGCCCTAAAATTGCAGACGCAAAATGGGAAGAAGTCCCAAAAAGTCAAGCACTACGCTTTCACCGATGCCGACGAATAGAGGAAGAACTGTCTTCTTAAAATAGAGGAAGCCATTGCCCACATATGCATGATATTCGGAGCATATGCTCTGGGATTTGTCTGTACTCATTAGGAAAAGATAGTCCAATGCCATTGCCATTGTCTATTCTCGATGTGTAGAGAGAGAGAGAGAGAGAGAAAGAGATGGAATACCTACTGTGGGCAATGACTGAGAATAAGGGAGACCTGGTGATTGTGGGCTGGTGGTGGTAATGGAAATGATGGTGAAGTACTTAATATTCGTCGTATTCTTCCTCTATTCGTCGGCATCCGTGAAGGCGTAAGGCTTGAATTTTTGGGTCTCCTTCTTCCTCTGCCATTTTGGGTCTGCAATTTTAGGGCTTGAATTTGGACCGAAAAAGAAAAACTACACGGTACCGTTTTTGGGTCTGGATGTTTTTTTAAAATAGGCACCAAACTGTGTCGTTTTGGTGAACAGCAGGGTCAGTTGTTCCTCCCGAACAGCAGACGAGCCAAATCCCTAGGAAAACCCTCCAAATGGGCATAGACCGGGAGAATCCGCAGGTACTCTGTAAGGACAACCACAGCCATAGTTACACCCAAGCCCCACCAAACTTTCAGTAAATCGAACTTAAGGAATAATTGTTACATACCTCAAACAAGACCTTTAATGAGAAGTTAAATTTTCGCAGAACCTTAATGCTTTGTTTAATATGATAGAAAAATAAAATAATGACAAGTTTGAGAGAGAGATAAAATATCATATTTGATAAAGAAAGAAAATAAGAATGATGAAAAAATGAATGGATGAGCTTTCCTTCTAACTCATCAAAATCAATCACTCTAAAATCAGAAAAAATGTTAATTATTTCTATTAAGATGTATCTAATTTGTCTACTGGTTATTCTCCGTGCCTGAAGATACAGAGTAATAAAAAAAATGGTTAGCAATAAAAATATGTGTATTCACATTCAAATTCAAATCACAAACATAAAGAAAAGATAAAAAAATTTAAGTATCGATTGTAATGAGGGTGAGCGGAGTTAGTGGGGATGGACAGTAGTGGTGATAGTGGGAGACGGTGATGGTTGTGTTGGGTGGCAACAACCTTGGTGATAGTGGCAGCCGTGAGTGACAATGGTGGTGGTTGTACTGGGTAGCAACAACCTTGGTGGTAGTGGCAGTCATGGGTGACAATGGTGATGGTGATGGTGAATTTTGGGTGACAATGATGATAGTGGCAGCCGTGGGTGATGGCGACGACGGTGATGGTGGGTGTGGGTGGTGGAGGACGACAGTGTTGGTGGTTTGCAATGGTGGTGGTGGGACGACAGTAGTGGTGGTGGGCGGTGACGATGGTGGTGGGGGGCGACGATAGATGCTTCTAGGTTACAGTGTGATGGTGATAGCAAATAATGGTAGTGGTAAGTGTGGTAAGGGTAGGTGGCAGTGGGTGGTTGCAGTGATGGGCAATGACGGATGGTGGCGGTAAGTGTGATGGGGGTGGGTGATAATGGCTGGTGGCGATGGTGGGCAACGACGGGTGGTGATGGATTGTGGTAATGGGTGACGGTGGGGCAACAATAGTAGTGGTGGGTGCTGATGGTGGGCAACGGTGGTAGTGGGATGATGGTGGTAATGATAATAAATATAAGAATAAGATGATGGTGGTGGTGGTGGTGGGTGGTGGCACTCGACGACGATAGTAACAATCAGTGGTAGGTGGCGATGATGGTGACAGTGAGGCAATAAGGGTGGGGTGGTAGTGGTGGGTTGGCAATGGTGGTGGTATTTATGATGGTTGTGGGGGTGGGGGTGGGACGGTGGGGGTGGTAGGGGTTATGGTGGGATAATGGCAGTGGTGGTAAGGTGCGATAGTGGTGGTGATAATGATAAGGTGCAGTAGCGATGGTGGTGATGGTGGTGGTAGTGGGGATGGTGGTGGTGGGACAGTGATGATAGTGGTAGTGATGGTAGTGGGGGTGGTGGTGGTGGGGTACGGTGGAGGAGGTGGTGCTGGTGGGGCGAAAATGGTAGTGGTGGTTGGCCGATGGTACGATGATGGCAGCGGTGGGGGTAGGGGTGTGGTAGTGGTGGTGGTGGTGATTGAGTGGTGAGGGTAGTGGTGGTGGAACGGTTTCAAAAATTATTTTTTTAAAAAAATATTTATGATAAATAATTTGTATAAACACTTTTAAAAAATCACTCCAAACAAACGCTTAGGGACTTATTTTTTCTATTAAATTTGGAGTTTTAATGTTAGTTGTCAGATTAATTTTAAAATAAAATTTAAAGAAATCTCAACTGCGAATAACAAAAATCATTTTGTTTATTTTTTGAGATTTGAATTGTATTATATTTTATTATATAGACTAGTTATTCCCCGTGCCTAAAGACACGTAATAATAAAAAAAATTGTCAACATATTCGTATTCACATTCAAAATCAAATCATAAACATAGATGAGAGATAAATAAATTTAAACACCGATTGTAATGGAGGTTAGCAGTGGTAGTGATGGTGGGCGACAGTAGTGATGGTGGGAGATGGTGATGGTTGTGGTGGGTAAGGCGATGACCGTGGTGGTGGTAGCAACCGTGGGTGGCAATGATGATGGTGGTGGTAGGTTTTGAGTGACGATGATAATAGTGGCAGTCCTAGGTGACAACGGTGGTAGTGAGTGTGAGTGGTGGTGGACGACGGTGATAGTGATTGACAGTGGTAATAGTGGGACAACGACGGTGGTGGTGGGTAAGGACGAATGGTGGCAGTGGTAAGTGTGGTGGGGATAGGTGACAGTAGGTGGCTGCAGTGGTAGGCGATGACAAACGGTGATTGTTGGTGGTGGTAGGTGTGGTGGGGTAGGTAACAATGACTGGTGGCGATGGTGGGCGATGATGGGTGGTGGTGGGTGGTGACAGTGAACGACGGTGGTAGTGAGATGATGATAGTAATGGTAATAAATATAAAAATTAGATAACGATGGTGGTGGTAACCATGGACGATGATGATAACAATTGATGCTGGGAGGCGATGGTGATAGTGATGGCGGTGGGGCAATGATGGTGGGGCGATGGTGGAGGTGTGGCAGTGGCGATGGTGGAGGTGGTAAGGGTGATGGTAAGACAATAACGGTGGTGGTAAGATGTGACAACAGCAGTGATGGTGGTAAGGTGCGACAACAGTGGTGGTGGGGGCGATGACGGTGGTGGTAATGGTAATGATAGTGATGATGGTGTGGTGGTGATAGTAATGGTGGGCAGCGGTGGTGGGACAATGGAAATGGTGATGGTGGTGGTAAGGGAGTGGCAGCGACAGTGGTGGTGGTAGTGGTGGTGGGTATGATAGGGTGACGATAGTGATGATGGCGGCGGCGACAGTAGTAAAGGGGGTGGGGGTGGGGGTGGGGGTGGTGGTAGTAGTAGTGGTGGTGGTGGAACAGTGGGAGTGGTGATAATAGAGGTAATAGTAAGACGGTTTTAAACACTAATTTTTTTTAAGTATTTATGAAAAGTAATTCTTAGAAATATTTGTAAAAAGTCATTCTAAACACACCTTTAGTGACCTATTTTTCCTATTAAATTTGAGATTTTAATATTAATAGTTAGATTAATTTTAAAGTAAAATTTTAAAAAATCTCAACCGCGAATAGCAAAAATTATTTTATTTATCTTTTGAGATTTAAATTATAAGCTACTTTATTATATAGATATATTCTTTAATACATACATATATTATGCATACATTAATTTCATATATAAATATAACGATAAAATATGAATTTATATTTTTTTAAAAATAAATAAAAAATAAAAAATTCAAATTCAAATTAAAAATAAAAATATATATATTTTTTATATCTTAACAACACAAAAAAAAATATATTTTTTTTTATTTTTCATTCATTTTACCAAATATAAAAAAAAAAATGTATCATTCTTTTTTAGAGAATAAAAAGTGTATTCTTTCTATTTTTCATTATTTCTACTGGACATGAGTTAGAATTTGACCCTCCCTTTTGGATTTGTCTTCTCTCTTGTGGAATTCTCCACTTCTAAGTTGGTCGATTGTTGTTTGATTAATTGTCTCTTAGACTAGCTATGCAAATGATGTGTTTGCTCGTGCTTTGGCTTTTTATGATTGTGGTGTTTGGAGTCGCAAGTTTGATGTTTGCCTAAGAGTTTACATCGCACGACCACGCGCTGCAGCCCCACAGCGCAACACCGAGTTCCATTCATTTGCTGAGGGCAGATTCGATAACAGCTTAGACCGATAACTACTGATACCCAATTGTGGAACACGTCATTAAAGGGAACCACTACAAGGGAGTTCCGAAAAGTACGAAGGAAGCTTCGAGTTCATATTAATTATGAATTAAAACTGGAATGTAGATATTATTTTACGAATATTTCGATGTCTTACACGATTACTTTTCAAAGTAATTTAACACATTCGTTGTACCTCAAACAAATGATTTTTATTCGAACATTAATTGAGCATTAAGCCAAAGTCTTTCTTTCAGCCTATCAAGTAGGAGAGGGGTGTCAATTTTAACTAGTGACACGAACACGATACGAACTTAATCCGACATAAAATCTAAAAATGCTATGATCAATTGATATAAATAATAAATTGGTCTAATTAATGTTAGAGATAAATAATATGATTAACGGATTCTGCAAGTAGAAAAAAGATATTTTATTATTTTATTATTTTTTTTACATAATATCATGAGTTATTATAAAATTAAATATTTTTTTATTAATACAAATACAACATATACCAAAAATTAATATAACTTAAAAATGACGCGACTAAAAATAACATGAAACGCCGCTATTTTTTTGGCTCACGTTAAAATTTGCATGTTTGTCAGTTGCCAGCAAGTCGTGACACTGGTCCAGGTGTTGGTCTAAAATACTGTTGAGTCAATTATTTTGGTTCAGAACCTTTGTGATGAATCCTTGACTTTAAAAATTTATTAAAATTTAAATTTAAAACATTTAAATTTAAGACGTCTCTGTTACTTGAAGTAATACAATGGAAGTCTTGAATGAAACTGTCAAGAAATTACTTTAATTTATGTTTTTTTTTATCATTAAACATTGACTTTTTCATTATTATTCTCTTTAAAATGGAATAAGTCAATGGTGTGTATTGCCTACCAATCTCTTGTCTTGCCAGCTTGATGGGCATTAATTATTTTTTCTTGGTTTTCACTCGATGTATCTTCTAGATTCATCACCAAAACATTCCAACGGGTAGATTAGTTAGTTTTGGCCTCCCAAATTTCACTGTGGGAGAGCTTCCACAATCAATTCCCCAACTTTCTCTCAGGGATAAGACATCAACTTCTATTTATATTACAAATTAAATTTGCGAGTGCAGTGACATAGATGTATTTCATTCGATAACTTCTAATCTCATAATCTTCTACATTTTATGTAAATTGCGAGCTCAGCCAAGTCATCCCAAACGTCTTTGAGTCAATATCAAATCGTCTTAATCATTGTCATTATAACCATTAATATCGTCCCAAAAAACCACTATATGACTTGAATTTTGGTATATTCAATTTATTTTATGTCTATTTTTTTTTTTTTGCATAGTCAAATGCTATGATTGATGTTTCTTAATGTCAAGTTTCAATATTTAATGGGATTTACAGTCAATTTAAATTAATTAGGTCAATAAATTATATCAATAAATTAATTTCTAATAACATTATTCTTTAAGTTAATGACGGATACCACGATATTGAAACATGTTACCCTATTAAATTTTGGATAAATTCTATTTTGTGGCAAACGATTAATTTTTTTATAAAATTGATCACGAGCTCATTGTTTGCCGAAGATATTTAATTTTGAGCAATACTATGTGGAGTTAAAAAATAAATTTGATAATTATAATCATTGATTTTACTGTACGTCCTAATATTTATTGAAATTCACTAACTATTTAATAATTGTGATTATGAAGTCTAATTTTTAAATATATATATAACATTACTCTTCAATTTTTCAACATGCACTTTAAAGAATAAAAATAAAAAATATTATAATATGGTCCATTGTCTTAATTTTATTTAGTCATTTATCTGTTTTATGATTTTTGATTCATCGATTGATTTGCGCAAAATAAACGGACGACCAATCGAAAACGAAAATATGACGGTATACCTCATTGTAACGCTTTCTTTCTTTGAGGGGATTGAACCTTGGATGAACATAACCGTTGAAAATTCTCCAGTGTCGGCCTACGCGGGTACAAGGGTAAACCACCATGGAATTACTTGGTCTAGTTATACAGACGTTGACATGGAGGAGTGGCTTCTATTTCTACACCACCGTAGCTGGTGGAAATGGTATTGCAGGAAGGTTCATTGCAATTTTCTCGCATTTTCTATGCACAGAGTTCAGTTGACCCACTTGATTTGATAGCTCTAATCTGCGTTTAAAACTGAGAAATCAATGGCTTGGTGATCAGTTTTTGTTGTTTCAGATAATCGTAGCTGAAAAAGTTGTAAAAAATTGAATTCTCTGCATTTTCTTGCCTTTCGGAATCCTCAAGTTTCTTTCTTTTTCCTTGTAATTCCGCCATGGAAATACTAGTTTCATTCGCGAGTTCGTTACTAGGAGACGGTAGTCGAATTCTCTGCGGTTCTATCTACTCTAAGATACGCAATTTCTCCAAGTTTCGATCGAACCTTGATGCTCTGGAGAAGGAGATGGAGAAACTGAAGACGCGGAAAGATGATGTGGAACAACAAATCGAAACTGGTGACAAACAAGGAAAATTGCCAACAGCTCAAGTCGTGAGATGGCTAAGCGAGGTCAACAAGATGGAGGCTGATATGAACTCCATGAGAACAGCTATGGAAGACAGCACCAACAATGCTTCTGGGTGTTGTTCAAACTGCGGTGTCCGGTGTAAATTAAGCAAGCAGGTGGTGGACAAGCTCAACGAAGTTGCTCAACTACTAAAAGATGCCGATTTTCCGGCAGGAATTGTAATTGCTAACCATTTGCCAGTACCAGTTGAGCATATCCCAGGGCCATCAATTGAAGGTCAATCAACAGCATCCAAAAATTTAGCCATGATTATGGATTGTCTGTGGAACGATGAGTTTGGGAGGATCGGTGTCTGGGGTATGGGAGGAGTGGGGAAGACTACTCTGGTGAAGAACTTGAATAACAAGCTCAAAAGCCCTTCATCGGTTCAACCTTTTAGCATCATCATTTGGACTACTGTGTCTAAAGATTTCGACCTGAAAAGGGTCCAATTGCAACTTGCTGAGAGACTTAAATTGACAAATGTGGAAGAAAGCCCGGAAAGAATGGCGATTCGACTGTATGAAAGGTTTGAGAAAGAGAAGAGGTTTCTTCTCATTCTTGATGATGTTTGGGATGCCATCGATTTGGACCTTCTGGGTGTTCCACGCCCTGAAATTCACAAGGGTAGTAAGATCATACTAACCTCTCGAACCAAAGAAGTATGTGCCCAGATGACTACTGATGTTGATATCAAAGTTGATGTCTTGAATGAAGAAGAAGCTTGGCAATTGTTCTGTCAAAATGCTGGCAAGGTAGCCATGGCAGAACCCATTAAATCAGTAGCAGTTGTAGTTGCCAAGGAATGTTGTGGATTGCCCTTAGCAATCATCACTGTGGGGGCTTCCATGAGGGGGAAGGCAAAGGTTGAGCTATGGCATGATGCTTTGACTGCTCTCCGACGGTCCGAGCCTATCAAAGGGATTGAGAAGAAGGTATTTACGCCACTGAAGTGGAGTTATGATTCATTACAAGATGAGCACATCAAAACTTGTTTTCTTTGTTGCTGTTTGTATCCGGAAGACTTTTCAATTGAGGTTAGTGAACTTATAAGATTCTGGTTTGCGGAGGGTTTGCTGGATGAACACCAAAATTATGAGGAACTAGAAAACCGGGGAATGGCGATAATCGAGAGCCTAATGGACTCTTGTTTGTTGGATCTTGGTGCCCAAGTTGACACTGTAAAGATGCATGATGTGGTTCGTGATGTTGCGATATGGATTGCATGCTCCATGGAGGATGGAAGTAAGTCATTCATTCGGTCAGGAATTGCCTTGAAGCATTGGCCAGAGAATGACTTACTGAAGTCTTCCAGGAGACTGTCTTTCGTGAATAATGAAATGACTAAGTTACCTGACTGGGAGCTGCAATGTTCTCAGGCAACAACTTTACTTCTCCGAGGTAGTCGGTTCCTTGAGAAGGTCCCGTATAGTTTCCTGCAAGGATTTCAAGTGCTCAGAGTGTTGGATCTTAGTGGAAGCTGCATCAAATCATTGCCTCTTTCTCTTCTCCAACTTGGTGAACTTCGGGCTCTCATTTTAAGTGGTTGTAGTGATCTTAAAGAATTACCTCCACTAAAAGGGCTTGGTAAACTGCAAATACTTGATTGTTGTGGTACTCGCATCAAGGCATTGCCAGAAGGGATTGAAAATTTAACCAACCTAAGGCAACTAGACCTATCCTACACTCCCCATTTGAAAACCATTCGTGCGGGAGCTCTATACAGGCTGTCTAATTTGGAGTCTCTGAACATGAGGCGCAGTGGTTACTGGTGGGGGGCGAAAGAAAAGGTGGAAATGGGACAAGCTCCATTTGAGGAGCTCCTACATCTCGAGAGGTTAATTGTTTTGTACATTGACTTGTCAATCATCCCACATTCCAGTTCTGAAGACTATATAACTTGGATTAGACGGCTCAGGAAATTTGGCGTTTTTGTTAAGGATTATGGTCCTGGAGATAATGCAATTGAAAATTCTGAAAGGGCCTTCATCAGGCCGCGACATTTTGTTAGGAGGCATTTGAGTCTCAAAAACTACAATCTCTCAGCAGTAAGACAGAGTTGGTGGCTGTTAATCAATGCAACTTCCGTGGATATCTATGGTTGTTCTTATATTAATCTGATGCTTGAAAATTTGGCCATGCTTAGTCATACTGTTGGTTCCTTTGCGGGTTTGAAGTCACTAACTATCGGAAAATCTAAGTATGGTTTTCAGCCTGGAGTAGGAAGAGGTGGTTCACAGTTTGACCTGCTACCAAATCTAGAGCATCTCTATCTCTATTCTCTTGATTTTCTGGAGAGCATTTCAGATTTAGGTGATTTTCTCGGACTCAGGTTTTCTAAACTACGATTGTTAGAAGTTATAGGGTGCCCCCGTTTGAAGTATCTTCTCCCTATTGGTGGCTCAATTCAAATTTTGGAAGAACTGAAAGAAATCAAACTGAAGTCCTGTGAGAAATTGGAAGAGTTCTTTAGATATGATGCTTCAAGACAGATAATGGCTTTGGATCCTGTTGTTCCAAACCTGAGGATGTTGGAATTGAACAAGCTTCCCAATTTGAAAACTCTTTGCAAAGAAAATGAGTCATGGCCAAGTTTAGAGCAGCTTGAAATTCTTGATTGCAATCTTCTCAGGAAGTTGCCTCTCACTATCCAAAGGGCAAACAACATGAAAGAAATAAGAGGAGAACAGCAATGGTGGAGCCAACTGGAGTGGGACGATGAATATACGAAATCTAGTCTACAGCATTACTTCACACCTATTATGGTAAACCCCTTTGTGATTGCTCTCAATTAAGGTCTCTTGGTTTTCCAGTCTACCTTAAACTAGCTCTGCCTTCAGCATCCCCCTCATCGTGATTATGGTAATGACTTTGGGCATTACTAAATCCCATAGTGTGACACTCGGTGTGTACAAGGCCCAGGAACGAGATGGTTTTGAATCAGCCAAACCTGTTCTCACTTGCCCAGTTGTGAGGAATCTGTCTTTCCAAAAGCTTTGTAGAGGTTACAACATTTGCTATTTCTGAAAGTGATCATGAAACCTCCTGTGGGCTGTGGCAGCAAACATTTGTGTGCATTTTCGTATTCATCCTGTGGTTTTCTTTTCTCGTCCGACTTCCCCACTTGTATTCATGGTGTTATTGTGTGATTTTCTTATTGGGGTGTGGATTCTTTTGTGATGGTCCTATTGGTGTCTGGACCAATTTGTCATTATAATAGTGTTGCTTGTGTCCGTTTGGCTTTTGGTTATTCCTTTGCTTTAGTTGTGGAGCTTGATATCTTTGATTTACTCAAACTTATCCTTTAAAATTCTTTAGAGTAGCTACCCACATACTTTAACTGAAAGCATGACTTTAATAGAGCTTAATGGCAAAACAGAATTTATGAAATCGATCCCAAAACATAGCAGCACATTAAATTGACTCAACACTTCCATCACTGCACCAGACAAATTTCCCTTCTATCCCAACGTATATTACAATTGCGATTAGAAACGTGAGAAAAAAAACAGGTTGTTAGTCTTTACAGATACAAGAATAGATGAGGCCATATTTCATCCGGGTCCAGAATTCTAGCCAAGTATTGGTTGGGGGGGGGGGGGTTGTGACCCCTAAAGTTGTCAACAATCTCTTTTGTTATGTTTATGAACACAAACATGTGAGATGTTTTTCGATTTCTTCTTTCTTTCTAGTAAATGATGATTTTAATCCATGGTTCAGCAGATATAAATGGCTATG